CTTGTCGAATGACTATGTTTTATAATAAAAAACTAATTTATGTATTTATCACCGTAATTTTCATTTCGAACAATTCTTTCATTAAAATTAATTTCAATTTTTCAACACACCAAGCTCTACATACTAGTTTTACCACAATTTTTGTCTATTCATTCAGCAATGGTAGAGACTTCAATGCATATTTTGTTCAAGAGACAATTTACATGAGAACTTTTAATGTTTTTGTTGGCAGATACCAGTGACATTGAAGAAAATGAATTGATTAATGTGGCAGATAGTGAACTTGGAGCAACTTGTCTAAGTTCTAGTTCAAAAAATGATCAGGAATGCACTAAGGCCTCAAATAGAGTATTTAACACATATTGGACACCAGTTTGTGATCTGTCAGGACAACCAACTTACATTGGCCAATATATAAATGTTGTTTTCCCTTTTCTTTCTCAACCCTTCTTTTACTGCTATTCCAACAGGTACTACAAAATTTAGACAATAATTGTGTCTATTCCTGACATTCTTGCAAATTAGGATGTGTAAACGCTTTATTTCAACTCAATCTATGATACATAAATATCTAATTATTGTTTTAGATACGATGACAACACTTATGTAAGGACAATTGAATTAGTATGGAGTTCAGCATTGGATGAACAATTAACAAACTCAGTTTACCATCATTGCTACAACTATAAACCAACTATTCAGTCATCACTTAATATTTCAATACAAGATATTTATTCGTATAGTTACATTGGATTGAACTACTTTAAAGTTTATACAAAACGTCATTCTTCTTTTTAGAAACTTTTTTCTTAATATTTTCTTTTCATCTGTTTTAGAATTTGAAGAAAATATTTGCTCAATTCAAAGTCAAAATGATGTTTTATATCCTCTATGTCAACAACTTTGCAATAATTTTATGGCTTCTATGTTCTAAGTGAAAGGTGAGTACACTGGACACCTTGCTGATTGTTCATCTTTCATTATGAGTTTTAGTAATACTTCAACAAAACTATTTACATTGAAGATTGATAAGATAGTTAACAATGTAAAACCATCATCAGTTATAGTTAATGATTCTAATTTTGAAGTTAATGATGATGAAGAAAGCTCATTTGAAAAAGAACCATCTAGTGTTAAATTTTTTGATTCCTCTAAATTTGAAATTATAAAAATTGAATTGCAGAAGAGGTTTTGATAAACCATACCAATGCAGAACATTTACCAAAAGTAACATCCTGTGTAAAAGTTGTGAATTATCACAAGAGAAAAATTGTCCAAGAGAACCAGATGATATTAATTTTTTTCTAAACCATACCCTTTTTTACCTGACAGATTTCTAAGGAAGGATATAAATGAAAATGACTTTTGAATTATAATATTTGCAACTAATAAGCAACTTGAACTTCTTTCCTCAACTAAAACATGGTTTCTTGATGGTACTTTTAAACATGCTCAAAATCCTTTTATACAAATATTCTCCATCCATGAATTTCTGAAAAAAATGATGCATTGAAACAAGAACCACTATTAACTGTGTTTATGTCTTCAAAAAAGAAAAAAGCATATGAACTACTGTTTCAAGTACAATCAAATCATATGTCTTATCTAAAGTGATTCTTTAATTAATTACTCTTTGTAAATTTTTCAGACAATTTGTGAATTAACAAATAATCATCAGCCAAAAAGATTTGTAATTGATTTTGAAAAGGCAAAATGGAAAGCAATTTTGTCTGTTTGGGAAAATGCAGAAATAAGTAGATGTTTATTTCATTGGTCTCAGGCTGTATTTAGAAAAATCAAGGTAGTGATCTTGTAACTTCATTTCTAATACAGCTATAAGTTTTTCAATTTTCTAATTTCTTAAATTCAACTTTTTATTCAGCTAATTTTTCAACATTAGTTTGTTCAATTAACTTTTGTGCTGTCTCTTCAATGTCTATTTACTTGTGATTTAACATTCTTCATTTCTTTAAAAAAAGTTTTAGCTTTTTAATTCTTATTTGATATTTCCCATTTTATGTCACCCATAATTTTTCTTTTTAAATTTATGTTCTTGTATATACCTTGTAATAAAAAAAGAATTTTTATCTATTAATTGACCAGTTACACATATATCTGAAGAGAATACTTTGTACATAGTTTCTCATATATCTCTTTGTCTAAAATAACCCTTACAAGCCATTTGTAATTTAATTTATCTCCCAATAATTGCTCAAATGCTTTTTTTTATACAGGAAGTATTCGGTACTTCAATTTCCATCAATTCTAGTCTTATCACAATTTCTTCCACTAAATCCCACTAGACATTCACAGACATAAGAAAAACTGCCATAATGACAACATACACCATTGTTTTTGCATGGATTTGGAGTGCAAATAGAATTTGATTTGATCACTTGATTGTTAATATCTGTCAAACCTAATTTATGGCATTCTCTACAGCATTTGTGTTTCAAACTTCCAAAACAATATCTCGGAAATGATGGAATGAAAAGTTGACATTTTCTGATGTTTTTTACTCCCTTTGAATGCAAAACAAGAAAATTTATTTGACTATTTGTACAATTAGGTGGAATAGTTCTTATCAAAGCTCTTCCTCCCTTACAGATATATTTATGCTTTATATTTTTGTATAAATTAAACTGTGAAGTATGAATACATCTATGCTTAAAACATTGCTTTCCATTTCCACAAGGACTTCCATCTGCAGCTCCTGGAGTTGAAAAATGGCAATGAGTACCCTTCTGACAGACAAGCTTAAGACAATCATCAGTCCTATATTTTGAACATCCCCAGGTTCCAGCAGCTGCTCCATTACCATATCTTAATATACACTGTTCAGTTAGGGAATATTTGAGCCCTGGGTATCTAACATCACTAGCTATTTCATCCCGATTGAATGCATCCTGACTACATTCCTTGTTCATCAAACATACTCTTGGAAATCCTTTTCGAGTGTTTCCAATTATAGTATTATATATAGCATCGATTGAACATTGACTAAATTCATAATAGTTATTAACTTTGGAAAGATGAAATCTTTCTCCTCCAGGGTTCATCATATATTCTTCACTGGATAGACACGCCATACTAGATCCTGATCCATCATGATTTGATCCAAGACTGTGTCCTAGCTCATGAGCAGCAGTAGACCAAGATCTCATGTTGATATATTCATTGATTGAGATTCCTCTCCTTGTGCAGACTCCTGACATAGGCGCCAATCCAACCACAGAACAACCATCAGAAACACAGAGGTCTTTTCTTGTCCAAACAAAAGTATGATCCCAATCCATAAAATCAGCTCCATGAGTATTGTTTTTGTTGTCCATCCACTTAGAAATCTCCATCAATGATACACTTGCATCAATTGCTTCTCTGTCATTATTACTAGGATAACTTAATGGGGCAGGTCCATCAGTAAATGGGCAATTCGCTTTCTGCCTAAAAATCATGAATTTCTTGACAGATACAGATATCATATATCTTGGATCATTGATCCTTCTGTAGACAAGGTCAAGTGCATTCAACAAATGAATAAACTCGTACCTCAAAGCTTTAACAGCTTCATCCTCGCCATTGTTTCGTGTTATCTGAAGAAAGTAGTTCCAGATTGTATAGTCAATAATATTTGCTGTTTCAACATGATAATAGGGTTTTTCTAAAGCTCTTTTCATTTTTTCTTCAATCGGGTCGTGGTTAAAGATTTCAAATTTCATCAATTTTTTAGAAGGTGAAGTAATAATATGTTCATTGTCATTTCCATCAACTTTGGGAGAAATAAATACTTGAAGGCCATCATGTTCAAATTTTCCTTCAATTTCTCGTTTCAATTTACC